TTCTGGGGCTGGCAATGCGGGGGATTCGCTTTGTACCTGCTCGGCCTCTGCCCCCCTAGGTATCCGGCCGTCCTCGCGGGCGACAAGGTGGACACGAGGAGAAGGGGCTTCCATCTCGTGAGAACCAACGCGTACAGCCCTTACGCGATGGGCAATTTCAGCGTGAACCGGTTGGACGTGTACACTCTGTAAGGGTGTGTGTCACACGCGTCGGACGGAGAATGTCGAGTCTTCGTGTATGAATTTTTCGCGGAAGAACAGGGCGAAACAGGCGCGTTATTTCCGGGAGTGCTACGTGTTATTCCTCCCGCGAGCGCGAGAGTCGGTTGAAAAAAAGCATTCCGTGTCAAGGTCAGGGGACCCCCGCCACCTGCTGTTAATCGATAGCGTGTTCCGCTAGTGGGGGAGGAGGGAGTGTAGTGGGGCTGTCCGGCTGCATTGCTCGCATTGAGAACTTGATTCCTTATCGATTTTTCACGAGTGAACTCGAAATTTCGAATAAAATTCCGATTTTTGTTTTTTTTCTTTTTTTTTTTTATTTTGTTTTGTTTTCGATTTTCGTCAGACACGAGGACGATCGCTTTTTTTCTTTCTCTTTTTTGGGAGAGGGAGGGGGATTATTACGTTAAGTTTTTTTTTTTTTGTTTTGTTTTCGATTTTCGCCAGACACGAGGACGATCGCTTTTTTTCTTTCTCTTTTTTGGGAGAGGGAGGGGGATTATTACGTTAAGTTTTTTTTTTTTAGATTAGAATTGCGTTAGAATTTTTTTTAGATTAGAAACGTAAAATAACGAACGAACGAACGTTAAAGACGATTACTCGTTTGATTTATAGTCGCGCTGTATTCTCGATAGTAACACGACCGATAGCTCGTTACGTTGATTTTGCAATCGTAAATATAATGAATAAATTTGAATTAAACGAATTCGTAATAACGAACAATCTCGACGCGTTCAACGTTATTCACGATGAAATAATTATAATTTAATGCGATCACCTATCGTGAAAAAGTAATCGTTTTAAATTTTTATATTCGTTCTTTATTTAACGTTATACCGTCTCTGTAAAAAATAGCATAGTTGCATCAATTTTAAAGATAAGAGGATTCGACTGACGATCGACGTTACGTAATCTTCTTACGTAACGATGCGTTTCTAATAAATTTCTGTTTTATGTTAAATTTAACGCGTCGATAAAACGAATAAAATTTTAAGACTGTATAAGAACAAAAAAAATTTATTTCGACGATACGTTTCATTGTTTATCTGTATTCGTTATCCATAGATTATTGGATTTTACACTTTATATATTTATATTTATAAATATTCTGTCTGAATTATGATGCAATGAAAATAAGAGGGATTATTTGTTCTTTAAATCGTTCTTTTATTCGAATTTTTGCTTGAATTTTTATTTGTCTTCCTTTCATCATCGCACGTGGTATCTTTAATTATCGATTTATGGAAAAATTGGAAATAATTATTGTACGATACAATGTAATAAGTATCTCTTTACTAATACATATTCGTGTATGTGTAATTCTAACTCGATAATTTTAATTTAATTGTGTTATCGTCGGAAATCAGATATCATATTTTCGATAACAGAAAATTCTGAATCATTGCATTTGCGATTCAATTTACAAAAGTGTCATCGTTGCTTAGGAAAAGAAAAATTTTCACGTTTTGACTAATCTCGAACGTAACAATTTTACATGATACCGAAATATTATTTATTTATTTATTTATTTATTTATTTATTATATCTAACTCTAAAACATTTTTATATCCAATAACAAACTTTCAAACGTTAAACTATTTAAAGCGATACGTGACGATACTACGTTGTTAGTGAAATCATTTCTACATTAGAATAAATAAAGTACAAGCTTTATAAAATTAACGTGTACGTTCAATCGAAGTATTCCACTCTATCATTTCGTAATGAACGCAACGTTTATCTACTTCGAGGAAAAATTGATAAGAGATAAAATAATTAAAAAATCAATTCGATAATAATTTATCTGAAATAATTTATTTGCACGATAATATATTATATTATATATCGAATCTTTCTTTCTTCATATATATTTGAATTCCTCTTTCCTTCGACATTTAATCTTAAATAATGTTAAATAATGTTAATCAATCATCCATGCACATATTTATATTCCAGTTACAATTCTTCGCTCGTAAATATTATTTACTTTAAAAACCCATTTGATTATCTTATTGAAAAATATGCAAATCCATGAAAGATAAGGAAAAGGAAGTATGGTGGACGCTTCACCGATATTTAAAGAACTTCTTCGATTTCTCGCCATTTCACAAAGTCTGGTATCTTCTTTTTTACGACGTAAAAAAAACAATGGATAATTGTTTGTCACAATTACGTACCATCTGTTTCCCATACTGCGCAAAATATTTTACATAACTGTCGTCATTCTTCGTTCGCAACAATTAAAAAGAAGAAGAAGAAGAAGAGAAAGATAACGAAGAAAAAAACTTGCATCAAGCATAAATCGATGAGGGAACATTCATGAGTCTAAGAAGAATTTATCACTGGAACACTTGGACACGGTACAAAGACCTTTAGGTGATCTAAAGATCTAGAAGCCTTAGTGCACGATCCTGTTAGCGTCTTTAAAGCCGACTTTAAGACAAAAAGGTACATCATGCTCGGTGCATAAATCCAGTATTTCGCGAGTCAAAGACAAGAGAGGCTTCGATTAATTTTATCGTTTATTCCCTGGCGTCGAATTTCCACGCGATAATAGGAATTCTTTGTTGCGTTTATTAATATATTCTCGCATCATCGTTCACCTAAAATTCGCATTCTAACTCGAGAAGAATTTTTTAATATTTTTGTTACATAAAATTTGTTCCGATTCATCGATTTTTCAACGCAGCGCAAATAATTTACTGCCGTGCTGCGTAAGTCATTTAAATTGAATCATCACCAATTCGAATATTAAACAAATGGAAAGCACGTTTTGGAAGTTTGGATTGTACCCAAACAATTCGTTAGTAACTAACGAGGCTCTCGTTAGCTGGCACGTGATGCCAAACACTATAGATCCCCATGAAAAAAAGATTCGCCGACTAATTCGTTAAAAAATATCCAATTGTTACAGGTCGGGATTACACGGGACGATTTATATATAAACAACCCGCGCGTAAATTTATTCAAATTAATTCTTTCTTCTACGTATATAAAGTATTCGAAATTTCCAATAATTATATTTCTAATTTTCTATAATTACCCAACAACCCTTCATAAAATATAATTCTTTAACGTAATGTAAAAGCAGCGAACGGAAGGTTTCAGCGGCGAGGAGACAGGCGAATATGCACATTTTGTATCATTAATTCAACGTTTTGGGATCTTTTTGCCTGTGCGGTGGCGAACGGACCGTCGAGGGCGAAACAAGCGTGCTTCCAGTCCATTTAAACGAATGAGAAATTAGGAGGTCGAGGAACGTGACGCAACGTGGTGCACATTGTGTGCCGCGGTGTAAGCTTTGAATTTAATTTTTTAAAAAGGGGATACTTTTCCCCTTCGCCGGGAATATTCAGAAACGCGTCTGTTATCCCTCGAAACTGTTGGATAAATTATATATATATATATCTCAAAAAAATTATTCGTTCGTAAAGCTGAATAAAATACTCGACAACGATTAGATTGTCGTCGCGCCACAGATTTTTATCATAATTTTATCGTCTTTTCCCTTCTTTTAACAATCTCTTATTAACAATCTCTGACGCATTGTCCTTCTTCTTTTTTTCTTTTTTCTTTAATCAAATTTCTACGTTTGCCCGCGTATTATAAATTTAAAATGGGGGGCCACATTTGACAGAGATATGAGAAATCTCGGGCGTAGAACGTGGCGCAATCTTCGGTAAATTATGGAACGATTTATGAAACGCATAGTTGGCCGACATCTACCGGGATACTCGAAATTCCGCGAATTTTCTTCGATCGATAGCCAACCAACCCCCTATCTCTCGGCTGTGCGACGAGTTATAACGCGTATTAAAAGTTGGGTAAATTATTTATGAAGTGGTATCTTTTATCTACGATTTAAAACTTGGTTCGAATGCACGCGCGATAAGAAACTCGAACAACTTTTTGAAATATGGATTTGAGGATACAAAACGGACCAGACGGGATATATCTCTTAAACTATGATCAATAAAATATTCAACAATAAAATAGCGTGAATGTTTATTGTGAATAAAAAAAATAGATATATAAAAGATGAAAATATTAGAGGAAAGGATACTATGTATGGAATAGGGTAGAAATATGAGATATCGATTATCAATAAATATTGAATTCAATTAACAATTTGGTTATCGATAATTATATTTCTTTCGTTTAATGAACGTATATTTCGAAAGAAATTTACTTTATTTTATTTTTTTTTTTTTTAGTATATATAATCGTTGTTTTAATATATTAAAGAGAATTTAATATATTAAAGAAATGTTTCGTGTTTTTAATTATAACGATAAGAGAAAGTGAAACGATAAATTGATCGACAGCAAATAATAAATAATTAAAATTTTAAATTATCTATCACGTTAATTATGAACTAATCACGATTCAGAAAATACAATTTCACTTTATTAGACACTATCTATCGCATCGTATATTAAAATTTTTCCATATAATACTTTAACAAAGTTTCATAACTTATTTCCCTCAAAACGCTCGTGTTCCCGCCCGATTTCTGTTCAAATATTTATACAGCATATTTCAAATCCTTCAAACTTTTTCCTTCGATTCTTCCCTTCGTCCTCCTCCACCCTCTTCGATATCGAGGAATGAAAACGGGCCATATTCCATATATATATACATTCCTACCCCCTCCACCCTCTCCGACACAAAGATAAATTTGAAAACTTTATCAATCGTAAGATCGTCAGGATAGAGGAGATTGATTTTGACAAGAACCACCACCACCACCACCACCACCACAACCACCATTGATTAATTTTCCGATCCAGCTTGTTGCCTGGCGCGGGCGGAAGGCGGTTATTTTCTGGCCGATCGCGTTTTCGAAAACGTAATCCGCGCGCGGATAGTTATGAAAATTTAATGGAGTAACGAGGAGCAAGTGTAAAGCGTATGATAGATATCGGGCAATCGGATAATGAGCGGGCTTCGCCGTTAATGAGCTTACTCGTTATTGCACGTCAGCCACCGTTTCGAATAATTGTTATTCGGTGTTCGTACACACGCGTGGACAATAACGATAATCGATCGCGCGCCACTGCCTTCGACGCCCGATTGTTTCGCGCGAAATTTATTTATCGGGCAAACCCTGTCCACGGTTAATTAACACAGGGCACGGCCTAAGGGGAAGGGCATGTTCGTGAAATTACCGTGAAATCACAACGATGAACCGCTGCGTCTGACGCCAGATTTTAACGTTTTAACTTCCATTATATGTGTCGTTGTTATAAAATATAATTTCCATATTCTTCTTCTTTTTTTTTTTTTTTTTTTTTTTTTTTTTTTTTTTGTTTCATGTATTCTCTCGTGATATCGATATCACGTGCGTTTGTCGGATAATTAACGATAAATATTTGTATCGATATATTCCATATTCGGCGAGAGTAGAGTCAGTTTTGGGCAGGCTTCTTGATAATAATAATAATAATAATATGGAGGCGAATTACTCGAGTGAGAGATTGGAAAAATAAATATCCGCTTTAAAACGGAAATATCGGTCGCAATGATTATATACGTATTGCGCTTGCTCTTTCTATAATATCAGTTTTTCCCGATGTTAATATTATAACGATCCAATATATTTAATACATATTTGATAATAATTATTACCGTATCGATAATCGAATCATTTCTACATATCCCGTCGCTGCATATTAATTAATTAAACGCAGCGGGTATCGATAAACAAGGTATTGCCGATAATAAAATATTTAAGAGGATGATTAATAATAAGTAATAAAAGTTACATCCGTGTGAAAATATATCGAGCACGAGACGAACCAAGTTCCTTATCACGAGAAGGAAACGGATTTCTCCGAGTTTTTCGCGCGATCTGGCTGTTACACGAGCATTTTTTATTCGAGTTGCCGAATTGTAAAGGAAAATTAAACGAACACCACGCGCCTCGCGTTCACGTTTGGCGGAGAATGAAGCCGGATTTGGCGGCCGTTGTATTTCACGTCTGGTCTCAGACAGTTTATCCCGACTAATAATCTCCACGCCGCAAACCATGCTGCCTTCCTTTCAACCCCTCCCTCTAGTTAACTACTAGGTGGCATTTTTAATTTACGCTACCAGCAGCTGCACAAAGCCGCTTTGAACCTCGAAATCGCGTGATAATGGGCAACGAGTAAATATATA